GACGTGGGAGGCTGTGGGGTGGATGTGGGAGCACGTGGCGCCATCCTAATTCTCCTGAAGCTTTTTTCTGCCCGCAACCTGGTTGGACGTGCACTCCTGGCTCCTATGTCTTTGATGAGTTTGTAGCTCTTGGTGCTTTTTGTGACCCTCCAAGTTGGCGGGAGACGCGTTTTCCTTTCCAGCTCAGCCTCCCGTCTTGCTGTACATCTGGGGAAGCTGCGCTGAGAGCTCGGTGCGTTTTAGGAAGAGCATCCCGGGGAGTCTCATCCTTCTGGTTGGTGACCTTCGGAGGTGGCAATGCTCAGAATTGCATTTTCAGTGGGATGGTGTGTCCTCTCTGCCACTGTGGCTTTTGTCCTCCACAGCCCTCACCGCAGCTCTGACAGCCGAGCCCTGCAGTGGCAGCAACGGACCAGCTGCCCGTGCTTCCGTCCTGCTGCTCTGTTCCTGTGCCCAGCCCTCGAGTTCAGAACATCATGGTGTTGGAAGTCTGTGTTTCTAACTATGGGTATTTTTGTTTTTTCTTTCCTTTTTTTCTGCCTGGCAGAGAGGAGCCGTCCAAACTGGATCGGGACGTGTTGGCCGCTCTGGAGGGTACGGATGTGGACCCACAGCGGTACCCGGCTGTCCACAGGTGGAAGAGCGCCGTCCTATGCTTCTCCCCCTCAGACAGACAGAGGTCAGTGGGCCTGCAGGGTCACCAGTCTCTTACATGGGGGCTGTTGGTGGCCGCCTTCCAGAACGGTTTGGTTCTGAGTCGGTGTGTGCACGTAGTGGCTTATCTGGGACACTGGCAGATGGGTCGGCCACGCTGACATGTGGCTGCCTGCACAGACAAGGGGTCTGCAGTTAGGGAGAAAGGGGACCGGGTGCTGCCAACAAGGTTGGGGCAGAGGATGGAAGCAGCCAGGGGACTTGTTCAGGGCCACACGGGACTCGTGTGGAAGAGCTTCTGTGCTGTGAATCCACAGGCCTCGCAGGGCTGGGGCGCGGGGCCCACGTCACCATCCATGCTGACAGACCTTTCTTGGTTTCCTCAGTTGGCCGAGCCCCGCGCTGAAAGGGAGGCTGGAGTGTCGGCAGCCGGATCTTGGTGGCCCCCACAGCTGCAGCCCAGGGAGAAGCCCCGGGAAGCCCGGCCCCACACCCCACTCCCCAGGCCTGGGCAGCCCTGGGCGCTATAGCCCCGCAGGCGGGGGCCGCCTCCGCAGGATGGCGCGCCTGGCCCAGCTCACGGCCTTGTAGGGCTGGTGCCAGCTGCTGGGCGTCTTTTATTCTGTGTTTGTAAAGAAAGAAGGGTAACGTGTTTATCGCTAAAATTCTACCAAAAAGAATATATTCTGATTAATTTATTCTCATTTTGAGAGTTAAAAGAATTTTAGAAAATGCATATTTTTTTTTGTATAAAATTTCGTTCTCTGGTGTTTTGGGAGAACTTGATGAAAGCAAACTCGGATACAGATTTTCTGAGAATTGTCACTTGTACCGATGCAGACTCACCGTCCCAGGCGGACGGCAGGTTGTGGGTGCCAGAGTTGGGGCGGCCAGATCGGCCCCTCGAATAGCTTCATTCACTTCAGTTTCGTTCTTAGAACAGATGAATTTTGTGTCGTCTTCCTTTTCTGGGAAGGAGTCTTGGACTTTCTAGTTCATGATAGAAAAATCTTTGTTTTGCCAGTGGATCCCAGTGGATTAGGCCAGTTGATAAAGGTGGCTGTCCAGCAGTAAACGAACCTTAAATAGGTCTTAGACTTGCAGCAATGTTTCTAATTTGGGTCATTACAAACATTGAACTAGGCTTTCTCCGGGAATAAATCCTCTAGTCTGAAGGAGTCCTAGGAACCGTCCGTAGCACTGGACAGGCCAGCAGCAGACCTAAGAAATCTGCACTTGCAGTTACTTTGTTTAGTTGCCAGAGTGATACCAATAAAATGATCTTTAAGTTGTTCTCTGGTTTTCAAATGTATTGCATATTTTCGAATTCATTTCCTTCTGATTTCCTGTGTAAAAAGTGTTGTGTTTTAGTACAGAAACTAGAGGTTTATCTCTGAGTCCTGGTCAGTTACCGTAGTGCATTTATTTCAGCTTCCCCTTGGCCGTGACCTCTTGGGGGGTCTGCCTGGAGCGTGGGGGCCACCTTAGAACCACTGCCATGACTGACACCCAACCCACGGCCCCATGTTGAGGGCCGACCTTTCTCGGGTGTACGTGACTGCTCACACGCTGCTGGTGCTCTGTGAGCATGTCCAGTGTTATCCAAAATGCAAAGCTCTACCAATTTTTGCTAAATTCAGTGCCTTTTGTAAATTATTTTTTATTTTCCTGAAACTTGCTTTTTTGAGAATATACAGAGATACTAAGTAGGCATGAGGTTTTTTTTTTTTTTTTTTTTTTTTTTTTTTTTTTTTTTTTTTCCTATGAAAACTCTGATTGGGAACTTGTGTTTAAAAAAAGTTTATTTCTCTCATGTGTTAATAAGAGACAGGTCAGGAATATTAGAATCTAGATTTAGATTTAAAAATTTTAAAGGTTGTTACATAGAGTGTGTAACACTGATGTGACAATCTAGATAAAACAGAAAAATACATTCTATTCTAAAAGCCAATGGCGTTTATAAAAGGCATCTTTGTTCTCAAAAGAAATTAGAATACAGATAGCATATTCACAGTGGCAATCTGTTTTCTATAAAACCTTACCGTACTGTCCTGTATGTTGTTGTAAATATCCAGATGGAAATTAAAAGTGTTTCTGTCCTAATTTTGCAGACTGTGGTTCTTGTTTTCTGAGGTTTTAGGTCGTCTTTGACTATTTCCTCATTTGTTTATAGAAGGTGGCCCTGGCCTCAATGAATGCATTATCGTGTGTCTTAAGGTGATTTTGCATTGTTTTTTAAGCTACTTAATGAAATTATTATTAAAACCATGTGGTAATAATTCTAAGCTTTCAGAAAGACTGCTCTCACTGGTGTCTGGGCAAGTACCGTTTTTAGTAAAATCTTAAGCAGTGTTGTGATGAAACAGTACATTAATCTGATGGTGGTGAATTTGCTGTTTTTTGGCCCTTTTTGTTCCTAACATGGTTGTGAAAAACTTTGAGTTAAGCTAGCACAGATTTCATAATCGCCCTTGGAAATGAAACCGGTCTCATGATGTTAACAAATGGAGTGTAAGTTTTTCAGAAGAGGTGTTGGGGACCACTCAGTGGTGCTGTGGCACCGGCTGACACACGAGGGACACAGGAAAGCCCCCGCCATCGTCGCCTGGGGGAAAACCAGAGCCAGGCTGTTCTAGAATGAGTGCCCGCCACACGTGGCAGGTGTTGGTTTGCAACCCTCTTGGGAGTTTCCGGGAGAAATGTGTAACTGGCCCCCGTACGGGGGGCAGAGAGAAACCAAGAGGCCGGCCGCTCCAGGTGTAACAAGCCAAAGAACTTCTGTAGGAGGCCTGTCTCGGGTGGGAGGATGAAACAGATCCCTGCAGCCACCCTCCAGAAGTTTCTGTGGAAGCCTCAGCAGTTCACTCACGCATGCTGTACACACGTTTTCGGTCCCACGTCACCATCTCAAGGCTCCGTGGGCAGGAAAGGTGAGCGGAGTCCATATCCAAGGAGGGAAGAGGGTGAGGAGCCTCCGGGTGTGTGGGGCCAGCTCACAGGTCGACTGGCAGTCACATCTTTTTGAAGACCTTCCCCAACAAGGACCACAGACGGATCCTCGTGAATAATTGGAGATACTCCCAGAAACATTCACAGCTTCGAGAGGAAATGGTGGGTTGTGGGATTACTGCTGTGACGGGGTGTGGCTTTGGAGGCCATCGCTCACTCACTGCCCTTTCGTCCTCAGCTGGGTGTGCTCACCGGGCCTGCACTTTCCTTCTCTTACACCCGCATGTTGCAGCTGCGCACAAAACCCGCCAGTACTGTCTTTGCTTACAGATGCACTCCATTCCTTTCTGATGGTCTCAGAAGACAGTATTTTGGAATAAGCAGCAGGCCACCATAGGAACCAAGTGCTGTTTGTTCCCAGATGTGGGTTCCTGATACAGCTCTCATTTGGGCCAAACTTGGGACAGTGCTGCTGACATCCCAGAAGTCTGGAGTCCCTGTCCCCTCAGACATCAGTGAGCCCCGACCCCATGTTAGCACCGACCTCCTGCTCCTCACCTGCCTCCCTGCGATGTGGGCTTGTTTTTGGTTTCCAAAATGCTGCCCTGCATCTCAAAGGTCAAGTGAAATGCTGCCGGAAAGGCAGGTCTGAAGATGAGAGAGGCGGCAGCACCAACTTCCCTGAGGAAGGAGGGGAAGGACCTGCTACCTCCACGTCAGGTCCTGGCTGGTCTGAGGATCCAGGGCTCAGACTCGGGTTCCCATGCGTCATGCACACCGGAGGTCAGATGTATCGCCTGTCACTTGAATCCTCTGAGAAGCCGGCACAGCCCCTGGCATGTCGCAACTTTCTAGAAAGTGCCGTGGGGCTGGTGCATCTTGGGTCTGGGCCTTGGCCCCTGGTGGGTACACGCCCAGCAAGGCCGTCAACCCCAGGAAACATCACCGTGGAAAACACTTGCCACCGCTGCTGCAGCATTCTGGCAAGTCTGGGCTCCTGTTTTCTTTAAAACATTCACAATAGCACCTTGAAAAACCAGTAAAATAAAATTTTATTTTGCAGTTATTTCCAAAGTTACAGAGAAATGGATCAGATGTCCCAATTAGTTGCACAGATTGCAGAAAATGTTCATTACCACCTCACAGGAAGTTTCTCCTAAGTTAACAAATACTTGGAATGGACACATCACGTCTAAACAGTTTCATCCGTAAGTGTAAAGGATTAACAGCCAGAGGCAGACTAAAGTGTCTGGTATTTTACTGAAACAGGATGCTGGCTGCACTGTCGCTCTCCGGTCCCCTCCCTCACCCATCATGCTCCTCTGAGGTGCCGGGAAAGGCCTAACAACACAGGGCAGTTCAGACCCAGCGGTGTCACGGGTGCAGGACTCCAGACTGAGTGGTTACCAAAGCAAGAACCCAGATGAATAGAATCTTTAATTGACAAATATTTAAGTGATAGAGTTTTAAGAAATGAGAAGAATGTATGACAAGTTCTGAATGGAAGCACTGGTGGCCCCTCCTCCGTGGAGCCCCTCGTGCCTAATGGACTTTGCCGACAGCCTCGAGGGGCTCATGTGGCCAACAGCGGTCACAACCAAAGACGCCTGGGCAAACTGGCCGTAGTCCCCGCAGACAGCGTCAGTGAGGCCCCGTCCTGGCAGACAGGGCAGAGAACCCCAAGAGAGAAATCAGGCTGATCTGCTCAGGATGATTCCCTTTTCCATCCTGGGCCGAAGTACAGACCGAAACGCCACATTTTAGATACTAAAGACATTCGTGCTTTTTCACCTTCCTCCCCGAGAAACAGCATCACCGCAGCAAAGCCTGTGGAAGGAAGATGGGGAAGGAGCCGTGTCCATGGCGGCATCTGTGCAAACCAGGCTGGGGACCTGGAGAGCAGGTCCTCCGGGCAGCCCTCAGGAGCGGGAGATCTTGTCTGGAGGCATGAACCCCGTGTCCCCGAGGGCCCTGAGCGCCACTCGGCCATCAGGCCGAACCACCAGGTGGGTGATGCTGCCATTGTTGAGAGAGAGGCGGAGCCAGCCTTCTGGGGGGAACTGCAGCGCCCTGGAAGAGAAAGAACATGCTGGAACAGGGGGCTCAGTCACCCCTCAGACCTTCCCGGGGCCAGGACCCGCAAAGGGAAGGGCTGGGCAGACACCAACCCATCGAGTCAGGGGACCAACCCAGCTCAAGAGGTGCAGGTGAGTCAGAAACACACGGTTTCTACAGATGAGTGTGGCTGATCTCTTTCCAGTGTAATCAGAAGGGGGCAGGGGGCGCCAGACAGTGCAGAAGACCCACTCCTGACCCGCTCACTGCCGGGAACCGGGTGGTGTAACCCATAATCCTTAGAGCAGTGTCTTCTTGTTCTTAGAAATGCTTTTTAGGCACGATAGTTGCTGAAAAGCCCAGTGTCATAATGGCTTCCCTTTGAGTCATCAGACGTCCTTTGAGCCCTGAATGTCCCAGTGGACGAGCGCCATCCCGGCGGCTCACCCTGCGGCCGACAGCCTCGGGGAGAGCTACCTTAGTGCTGCTTTCGAGTCTTCTTCACGTCTCCCCCAGGCTCTGCAGGGCCCTCATGTACCATGACGGGGATGCTCTGGTTCCTTCTAGCCCTTTGTCACATGGGCCAC